TCGGAAATCAGATAGTGAGTTGAATCAGTGCCTGTGATTCTCGAATCAGTATCCGCATACCGCCCCAGAACTGAAATCAAACTAACGTAAAAACTGTTCCCGGCTGAGTTTATGAGTCACCATCCACATTTCAACGACCCGAATGAGGTTCCATACCGACTCGACAACAAACCAGCGTTGAAGAAAAAGAAGAATCTCCAGAGTGAGAAAGGGCAGTTCTTCATAGTAGATAGAAAACTTTATTTTCGCAGTGCAACTGTCATATGATAATACTTATTAATTTAATTACACTATTTCCATAGAGCAAAACTCCGCTCACCAGGAGTTCAAGAGTGTGACTGTAAACCCAGCAACTACAGAATGAACGGCCAAGTCCTGGTATATGTACGGAACTAAATTTACATGTATGATATATCTATATACGGTTATATATCATATAGTAAATAATGCATATTCTAACTGTATTATTGATATGATTGCTGTCGAACGTCGGTTAGAAATTCGTCAATTATATCTCCCCATATTAATCGTTCGTTACTGATATCATATTATGAGTTTGATCGCGTTATTATCTTACTTTCGAGTTGTTCATCTCAGGGCCAGCGATTAGACCAGCACGAACTACTGAAAACATCCCATCTGGAATCAACGATGACGTAAGGGCTTCACAATTCTAACTTATTCTGGTCGTGAATTCTCTCACCCTCTATTTCGACACGTTGATAACAATATCATATTCCGGAAATGTACGAAAATTACGGGAAGACCTGTCGAGGAAAATTGAACGTATAGCATAGTTGGAAAATTGTGCTATTCTTTGTAGCTGGAAAAATACTAAATATCAGCAGAATTTCCCGTTTCAAATTTATTGCGGAGCAGGTACCATAGAACGAATTCCCCCACTAGGCGTAGTAGTAGTAGCCAAGATCCTATGCGTACATAACTGGCTGACGTAGTTGTGGTTATTCTTAGACGATTCCGAGTATTATCCGGAAGTCTCCGGAATACCAACAGATGACAAGGTGGATGCGAGAAAATGAAGGTGAGTACATGCATGGTAGAAACATACTGCATATAACGATGAATCTAGGATAGGATTTATAACTCTTATATATACACTCTATACTACTTTATATATACTTTTACGATGTAAAAGTATATATAGTATTCATTGGGGTTTCACCCGTGATATGAAAAACCAGTGAGAAATATATTTTACGACCACTGTATATCGCCGCGATATTATCGCGCTTTTCGCAGAGAATTACGCCGCTCTACGTAAAACGGGTGAAACTCCATTATTATGAGTTAAAGAGAGAGACAGGATGACATCTCTCATAATAAGCACGAAACTAACTATACTGTTGTCGAAAACATTAGTCTCATATATACTTAGTAGTATATGTAGTAATAGCTGGACATGGTCACCATGTCATGGTGACACCATCGGCTAAGGATTCATATTGGCAACCCAACACGTGCTCTGGCCCTATGACAAATAATGTCTCCACCATTTTCCACTCATAGTACTCACTGTACTATAGCACAACGATTATTCTCGTTATCTAGGAGGAACGTAGAGGAATGAGCAACTCTATAAATGCAATCTTTTGGAATGAGGAATCAATACTCAACTTAGCCTCCGTGAAGCACAATCATATCGTCCTCTCACAAACGACGTTGAAGCCTTCCTCTACTAGGTTCGATGCTCTCTCATCAACTCACACAGTTGATCGAGTCGAGTGTCGTTGAAGCAAGTACCATGTTGGAAGAGCGCAGAGCGAGAAAGATAAGAATAGGTGTATCAATGCTCGAGAACGAAATTGATGGAGATGCTCCACTCTTGAACGAGGTCTATGAGTAAGCACTTGCTTATGCACCGTCATAATACACAATTATCAGTAATAGTTACATAGGTAATGTATTGCTATGAACTCATCTGTATATAACTATCTATTCTCCTCTAGTCGTTTAGTACTGGGAATGGCGTCTAGTCCTATATCCCATACTATTATTATAGTATGGATCATAGTATTAACACATCATAGTATTATTATATAATTTTGGTAATAACCACATAGTTTTGTTTTGTAGCTTGTATATCGTTATTAACTGTATATAACCACCCATTCTACTCCACTTGTTTAGTAGAATAGTATACATGCTACGCTCTGAAATACTCATAGACCATTCGAATGAGTTCCATCGCACTCGTGTCACGATCGATTTTCCTGAGAATTTCGGCAAGCATGGTCACCCGTTCAGCCACTCTGCTCTAAGCTTGTTATGTTCGGAATATTCACTGAAATCTATGTGCAGTGTCCCAATACACAATCATTAGTAATAGCTACATAGCTTTGTTTCATAGCTAATGTATTGCTATCAGCTCATCTGCTTATCCCACTGTAGCCGTTAAGTAGAATAGTGCACTTATGGTTTAACCTTATTCCTTATGGAGAGATCTGACAGGATGTTGAAAAAAAACTCATGTTGAAATCGCTAGAGTGCGATAACAGTGATCTCACAATCCTAGTCGGTAAGAATACAATCACAAATTCTGACAAACTTTGTTGTGTCCTCTCAACTTCCATACTACTGCTTGAATTTTCAAGTATAAAGTATCTGAATTTCCTATTGTATTACACGATGTAATACAATAGGAAATTCCGATACGGGTGACCCGTGTTGGAATATACAGTATGCTTGTTTTCTTCAGCTGAAGTTTTTATGGAAATTTATACACAAGTTGTGAGCAAATTCCTATAAAAACTGAATACTTGTACTAATGAAAATGTTCCTCATTGTCATCAACCATGTTCAGATGGTTTATTAAAGCTACCAAAGAACCCCACGTAAATAACTCGACATCAGTTCTCGATGAACCTCAAGTTTGCGATCGGAAAACTATAACACAAAGTTATACTGTCGACCGTAGCCGACCACGAACTGCATCAACATATACTGGAAGCACAATGAGCCTGCGAACACGAGTTGGCAAACCACTACTGTCACGACCACAGTCAGCTGTTTACGAGAGAGCAATAGAGAAAGGACTTGTCAGACCAACAAGTGCCGTATTTGGAAGGTCTATAGACAGACAGGTAGGTCATGCGAATCGGGGGATATCAACATTGGAGTTTCACCCGTTTCATGTGAAGTGGCGTAATACATCTCGGTATGAAGTGAGTTAAAACATTTCATGAATTGAACCGAACGGAATCGACCCTCTTCCCGTGAAACATTCTACATCTTCTACGTGTTATTCACTACTTGCATGCGGTTTTTCGCGAAGTGAAATTTGGAGGATGTTTCTGACTAGTGTTTCCATAACACGAGTGAGACTCCATTGTATCCGTATAACGTTTGTCCACTGGCAAGTGGGATGCGAAGAAATTCAACACGCGAATTTTTCCGAAGATCGCAGTGAGTAATTCTGTGAGATTAATGACAGTGAAGAGCTGTCGCTATCATTTTTATCACATCACATGTTAATGTTTATGCGATATGGTCTTAGACCGATTCTTATCAATATCAGAAAACACCACATTCCAAAGTGCGTATTCTCAGGTAAATCCGAAAATTTAGCATTTCACGTTTATTACGTCAGTCTGAAATTTCAGCAAGGCTCAGATATAATGATGAACTACTATATACATTTGCATATCAAATTGACACGCATTGTAATTAGGGAAACTCGAGCGGTTATGTTATCGGTCGGCCTCTCACTGCTGCATCATCGACTTGCACGTTTGACATTTCTACTTCTATTTCGGGGAGTAGTCGACCAACGAGTGCGGTTACAGGGACAGTGTGGGGTAGGAAAGATGAAGGTGAGAATAAGTGAAACGTTTCATGTAGAGTGAGTTAATCCGAAGCCTAGGATACTTGTTGTAGATAGACGTAGTAGAATTTATGAAAAACTTTCATAGCTTGACCTTATGTAGCGTTCACTAGCGTCACGCTTTAAAGAGAGACAGATATTTGTAAAAATCTCTACAATGTGTAAGTGGCTTAATGAAAAATATGCCGTATTCGCGATATGAGGTGACACCGCCGCAAGAGTGAGCGCATAAATGTGATATCAGTCCTACGAGCTCGTGCTCTATGCACGTATGTGTGTGTTTTCTTATATCGCTCAGTTGAGACTGCGTGCAGCGTGGTATCACGCGCAGCCTTGGTTGAAATTAACAAAGCCCGGGAGAGGAAATCAATGCAAGCCGCTTTAGAAAGATGGAGTTGGGAAAGAGAAAAACTTGAAACGGAAATCGCGAGGAAAGCAGAAGCGAGCGGAAAAGTGAGCCGAGTGTTCATCAGCTACATTATGGAAGTTCATATACTACTTTAGATAGCAGCGTATGAAAATGAACAAAAATTTCCATACTGTCGCCGAGACACATGGAGGCCAGTGTGGAAGAATATGCGCATTGTCAACTACATGTATTGGACCAATACATGTAGTTGACCATGAGCATATTATATTGGTGACAATATGCAAAAATTCTGAAGAAATTCTTCTGAAGTTTCTGTGTACTTCTACCTGAATTCGTGAGTAAACTCCTGAGCTCAGCTGAGGATAGCGAACATATATTCCTACAGCACTGTTAGGAGCGCTTTAGGTTCCGTCGATGACAGCTGCGGTCGAGTCGAAAATAAACGGGGATATTTCTCGACTTGCG